GAATAGAATAGAATAGAATAGAATAGAATAGAATAGAATAGAATAGAGCACAGCAGAGCAGAGCACAGCAGAGCACAGCAGAGCACAGCAGAATAGAACAGAACAGAACAGAACTGACTAGGTTTATTGGCTGCGTGATTGGACACAGAAGGAATTTGTCTCCAGCAGTGGTGGTATGCTACCATTTCAGATTGGTTCAGACAAACTGGTAGTAAAAAACACTTCCCACTATCAGCTGAGAGGAGGAAAAAAAAGCCTCTGACAACCAGCTGAGAGGAGAAAGAAAAGAAAAGCGCAGGATCGGCCTTCCCACCTGCCCCTGTGCTTTTCTCTTTTTTATCCTCTCAGCTGACCGGTGCTGCTGCAGCCTCAGCTGGTGTGGGAAAAGCTATGCATGTGTGTTAGGTGTGCGCACATGCACACCCAAACACCAAACCAGTACTGGAACAGGTAGGATCCCACTGCTGGTCTTATCTCTCAGTGTACATATGAACAACAAAGCGACAAGTCATTGATCATAAAGCATAATATATCATCATGAATCATAGGATGTAAACAATATGTGTCCCAGGATAATAATACAGGATCCAACCTGGGTTGGTCACCAGGACCAGAACATTCTGCTAAAGAGAAGCTCTCAAAGGATGGGATCCACCACGAGTCTGAAAGGTCAGAAGACTGAACTCTTTTCCTGGTGACCAACCCAGATTAGATCCAGTTCCTTAGCTTATATATAAATTATGTGATTGTGATGATACCTTAGATTTATTTCAGCCCTAAATTTAGGGTTGTTATCTTTAAAAGAACAACAACATACATTTTCCGGTCCTAAGAAATTAATAATGGCAATAAATCCTACTGCAATTACTAAAAATTTCCTCCGAATAAACATGAATAGAGTGGATTTATACAAATGGATATATTTTTCAGTCAGTTTTATCCTAGTAATGTACTTTGCTTTTACAAACCTGTAAACCTTTTTGCACTGTTTATATTAAATAAAACAAGACTTCATAACCTCAAATGAATTTTGATTGCCTAGTGTTTTGAGCAGCTTTCAAGCAAGAGTTTATTTGATGACAAAATCATGAGAGTTAGTGGAAGATTACAAAATGAAGAATAGTTAGGGATGTCAAAATGTTCTTCTGCTTAAGCCCTTGGAGAGTAATTGAATAGGTTTAGCTTTGCTAGAACAGGAAAAACATCAAAGCCAATTATGTTTGCACAAAAGTCCTGGGCATGCAGGTTACTTTGCACATCTCTATAACTGTTGCAAAATCAGTGATTGTTAAAGGAATATTTCCTACAAATCAAAACAACTCTAGCATTTCCATTGTTTCCCAGATTCACTTTCCAGCAGGCATATGAAGAACCTATTATTCAAAAATGTTCATCGGTCAGACACTGTATTTTCTAAACAACACATTGGTTGCTCCTGCAATTTTCGATAAGATAAATGTCAGGGACTTTAACCAACTTGCAGATGAAAATGTTGAGTGTATGTAATTAAACAGAAGTGATCTGTTTGTTTATGATCTTTTTTGAAGACCTACATCGCCAGTGTTCACATAATTCACATAATTCATTGTTCAAAATAGGTTGGACTATTTCACAATTTTCTTGTCTCATCAAAGGATGGCTTAATATGAAGGTATGCTTTTGGGTCTCCATTTGCTGCTTCTGAAACCACTTCCAAACAGAAGTGAACAAGTTTCCTGCCATTGTAAACACAGACAAAACTCCTAGGTTTAGAATTAGCACCGAATAGGTTCAGCATTTTTTCCTATTCCTTCAAGGGAAGGACAAACCTCTCCAGATGTTCATAATTCAGGAGGAATTCAATATAGTAGTTTTGTGCTTGATCTAACAACCCATGCAAGCATTGTTATGTACATAAGTCTCCTCTGTGCTCCTGAATTCTGTTTCCAACAAATAAAGTTTCAATACCATAGAAAATAAACAGTGACTCTCATGGGTTCACCATATCTCTTGTAGGTCTCAAATTCTTGTGGCCTTTCAGGCATGAACATCAAAATCTCATGGGATTTCAGACATTTGTTTAAATAAAAAGTCATTCTTGTGAGCTTCATCCAAGTAGGCTTCCAAGTGTTGTAACATTATAATGCATATTATTCCCCTTATGCATTTATGTGCCAGATTGCAATACAGGTGCATGTGGCTAAACTTTGCATGATGGCATCCTCGTGCACATAGCTTTTTTGTGTGTGTCTTCATGCTTAGAGTCATAGAAACTATATGCACATTGACATGCATGATGTTGTTGAAACTTGCATTAAATGTATCAGTGAAGGAACCCATTGCTCTAAATACCATTTGAACACTGTGAAACTGTGTGAAGAGAGGGAATAGAGAAAACAAATGCAATATCTCTCAGTGCCTTCCCATGCATTGATTTACCTGTTACTGCAGTATGAATAACTTACAAGGGTGAGATACTCATAGTAACTTACACCAGAGTGGAAAACAGCCTGTGCGCTCTCTCTCTCTCTCTCTCTCTCTCTCTCTCACACACACACACACACACACACATGTGTTAAAAGTCTTTATTAAAGCTTTCAAGCCTGAATTAGTATTCCCCAGTAATTCCCCTTGTCAACGTCAGCCCAACCTCCAATGAGTTCAACAGGCTACTCAAAAAAAGCCAGCACTAGTCCACAGCACAAAGACAAGGCAAGATCCCACGACAAAGGCAAATCCACAAGGCAAGTCCAGAGTTCAAAGGCATAATCCAAAGTTCAAGGCAACAATCACGACAGCTGAAGAATACCCAGCAAGGAAACAGAAACATTGCTCCCAGCATTGTTTCACTCCCCTTACTAAGCTAAGTAACTGCTTCCTGATATATCCTATCAAGAGGAGTGAAGCTGCCTCCTTGCAAGTAGCCAGGCATATGTTTTTGTTGTGCTTGCCTCATCTCAGCCCTATGTGCTCTTGGAACTTGAGGAGGAGACAATTGTTCTCCAATGACCAGCTGCAGCTGTGTGCCCTGTCCACCCAAAACTTGTGGGCTTCCCAGCTTCAGCTGTGCCTCTCTAGTCTCAAACTTAGCCAGCTGGTCTTCCAGTTGCTCCCCTGTGCTCATTTCTTCTACTCCTGGCTTGTAGCCCTTGGCTGCCTCCCCTCCTGACATGCCCATGACCAGTTCATCCTCCTCCAAACTAGCTTCTGGAGAGGTCACTGGGAAAATGTCCAGGACAGTCATCGCACAGCCTTTAATTGATGACTATGGAACTGCCCTTTGATTTACTTGAAGTCAGGTGATTTTGGAAAACCTTATAAGCTAATGCTGGTTAGATGAAATCAGAAGTACAAATTATGAACATCTGCATTTTGTGCAACATCGCCTTCCCATTATTTATCTATTTGCTATGCAATAAATGATTTAGATAAGTTTTAAAACTGGATACAAAGTTAAGCTTTTTAAAATTCACATGCTATCTCTTCCTGGTGGATTAATGTCACATTAGCTGCAAGGGGTTATGTAAAATGGGTGGTTTTAAAATCGGTCTGATTAAAGCTCTTGACATGGATGTGTCCTTTGGTTTTCTTAGGGCTTATTTATTTTTAGAAAGATAAGGAAGAAATTCAAGTCTATTTTCTGAACATTGGGGGAAATGTCCTCTGTTTTGCAAAAGTGTCTGCCTGCCAACTTTCTGTCAATTATCTGGTCCCAGAATGGGTCTGTTTGTGGAGTTAAAATGAGATTAACTAGCCTAAGGCTCTGTTACTTGTATCTTTTTATTTGCATTTGCATTTTCAAAATTATGAATGGGATTTCATTGCTGTGTACACAGCTGACACATCAGTCAGACAACAGAGCCCTCAGCCATTATTTCTATGAAATCAGAATCTCTCCAGAAACCCGTTGGCAAAGAAGAGAGAACAGAGTTTTTAATATACTGAGTGTGAATGTGTATGTGAGAGTGTGTATAGGGGAGGAGGGAAACAGAAAAAATAAATACTCAAATGATTTTATAGATTCTTCGACAAAAATGGGTTGTTTTCATTCAGTAAAAGTTTTATGTCAAGACATCAAAGAAACAACATTTTAAAACATGCCTTAAAGTCACCAAGTTTGAAAACACTGGTTTAAATTGAAATTTTCCATTCTCTTTTTATCAACATACATGGCATAATTCAAGTTTGAAGGTACTGAAAATGTAGTTTGGAATTATAGTACGTGTACTGATTTTGGAAAAATAATGTATCTTTCTAAATGAAAATTTCTGCTTTTTTTTTTTTTAAAGCTCAGCTTTAGAGATTGTCTAAATGAAAAATAGAAGATAGAAGGTTCTTTCTGGATCTTATTTAATTGTTTTGTAATTGCAGATAAAAGGAAAGAACCAGACAGGACATCCTGCCCACCAACCCTAATTTTACATACTGAAATGAAGAACAAGCCAGCAGAAAATGAAAATGAGAAGGTTAATTTCTTATTGTTTAATTCTGAATTGAGAAAGACATGGATTTTCTTCATGGATTCCTCCTGCAGCACAGATAGATCCCCAAGTTGACATATTCAAAAGTTTGTTTCTCTATCTTCCTGCTTTGCTTCATCTTCCATCTCCTCACTGCCAGGAGTGTGGGCCCAGCCAGAGAAATCTGAAAATGGAGGACTGTGAACTGGCGGATGAGAAGGGTTCATCGGAAAAATAAAATCCATTGAGAATGTTTGGATTAAGGGTTCCCTAGAATCTGTATCTATCTTTATTAAGATGATAAGCAAAATGAAAATTGTTAAAACTATGTTAATTGATAAGCTCCACAGAACTGAGTCATACACACACAGACATAGACACACACACAAAAATATGCAATTGTGGCAAATATCTGTAGCTCGGGTATAGGATAAGGATGAAAGTTTGTTCTCTAAGCTTGTGGGTTGGTTTCCAAACATTTTACCAGGTTAGGTAACCTCTCCAGCAGAGTTTAGGGGATGTCAGTGTTCTTCGGTTTATAAGGGCTTCAGGTGTGGGTTTGTCAAGTGAGGGTCTTGTGATGGGTCAGCTGTGAATCTTGTGATGGATCTTGTGATAAGGAGATTATATCAGCTCAGGGTCATTGGGAAATTAATTGCTGGTGTGTGGGTTGCATGGACAGGTGCTGTCTATGGTTGGTTGTGTGGTTGATTTGGATTATGAAGGGTTCGTAGATTGGTTGTAAGTCAATATGTCTGTTGATGAAATTGCTTGTGGAATGCCAGGCTTCAATGAAGAGGAACACTGACATGCCCTAAACTCTGCTGAAGATGTTACCTAGCTGGGTAATGAAACATTTGGAAACCAACCCACAAGTTTCAGGGGTTCATTCTCCAAGCTTGTGAGCCGGTTTCTGAATGTTTCATTACCCAGCCAGGTAACATCTTCAGCAGAGTTTAGGGGGATGTCAGTGTCAGTGTCTATATTTATTTTATTTTATTTTATTATTTATTTGTTTGTCAAACATGTACAAGATAACAAGTATAAGTATGAACATAAACAAGAACAAAGGAAGTAAATACATTTACAGATAAATGGGGACAGTAAGACAGGGACAGTAAGCACGCTGGTACACTTATGCATGTCCCCTTTAAGGACCTCTTAAGAATGGGGTGAGGTCCATGGTAGACAGTTTGAGGTTGAAGCTGTGAGGGACTGAGGCTGTAACAACAGAGTCGGGTAGGGTGTTCCAGGTATTGACCACTCTGTTGCTTGAAGTCGTATTTTCTGCAATCAAGTTTGGAGCGGTTTACCTTGAGTTTGTATCAGTTGTTTGCCTGTGTATTATTTGATTGAAGCTGAAGAAGTTGTTGACAGGCAAGATGTTATAGCAGACAATTTTGTGAACAATTTTGTGAACTTAGATCGGACTGCAGGTGGCGCAGTTCCAGAATGTCCAGGCCTAAAATTTTGAACCTAGAAGCTATTGTGAGTGGAGGAGTGGAGCACTTTTCTCGAGAAATACCTCTGAACCTTCTCAATTGTGTTACTGTCCAATATACATATATATCTTCTACAAATTTGACAGCATTTATTCATAATGTTGTATCTTTAAAAGGTTACTGTTATGGGAGTTAAGTAGCAAGAACAGTTATCTCTGTATTCATTCAAACTCGTCTCTCTTCTGGTTATTCAGGAATGGCCAATGTAAAACCTTCCATGTATAGATGGAATCCAATTCCCATTATCCTTAGCTGTTATGAGATATAAAATTAACTGTGAACTAGTTCTACAGAATAACATTATGTGCACTATCTTGGCCTCTTTGAGGAAAGCTGTAATCTATGAAATTAAAGAAAAATGCTTGTTAGAATGTAAATAAAACACATAGTATAACAACGTCTTTTGTTGATTAATCTGTTTCTTTTTTCTGAAGACTCATTCTTTAAAACTACTCACAGATGATGAAAACACTTCAAATGGCAACAAGCCTGTTGCATCTACTCCTGTTCCAGGATCTCCCTGGTAAGTACCTTTAGGAGTAATATACGTCATTCGTTATTTGGGCTATTTCCAAGGATAAATTAAAGATCTGCTATATCATTGTTAACTAAAGAAAAGGAGAAACATAATGGTTATTGGCTATTATCCAATGTTTAACACTTTTCTTCAGAAACCAACACCTTGAATATATCTCAGTGCCCTCACAACTGCACATATCAATGAAATTCTGCTCCATCCCTTATCCTGACATTGTTGCACATCTGAGATGCAATATCAGTGATGTAAAAAGGACACTAAAAATATAACCTGAAATTTAGGCAGTATTCCTGATTTGCTTGATATAGTAAATAGAGATAAAGTACCTGGAAATGAATGTCATTTAACTCAGTAGTCATTTAACTTAAACTGTCATTTAATTCCAAGTATAAAATTGTATTGTCCAGTAATAAATGTATAGAATACCTCTGCAAGTATTTGTTTCATTTTTAGGGAAATATTTTTTTCACTAATTATATTAATGTGCTTTAATGCAAAAAAATCTCATTCACCACATCACCTACATTAGCTCATCGTGCTGTTCGATCAAGTGATCTATGAGAGAATCACACTGAAACATGGAACAAATCTTTAGAAGATATATTATTAATTCGAGCTTCTTTAGATAGGAAATCAAAAGATCAAAATCCACAAAGAATCACCACATCTGATAAAAGTGTGGCATTGATCCCAAACCCTTTCCACTCATAGGCTGGGTCCATGCTTCTAATGGATTCTGTGGTTCATGTGACATTACCAGGCAAACACTGGGATGTCTTTCAGAAACAAGATCAGGAAGTTTTGAGAAAGATTTCAAGTTATGCAGCTTAAAATGAAAGGTGAGTTTTGATTATTCTTTGGCAGCTGCTCCTATCTCATTAGTTCTAATGTACTATGAAGTTTATGAGATGATTACATGATATACATATTTATTGAAGATACTGAAGAATGTTCACTAACATTTTTCTTCGTTCTTTTTTCCCATATTCTTGATCACTATTTTCCAAACCAGTTTTCAACCCTATGATAGTTTAGATTGAAACATTTAATTCTTTTCAGTTTATTGAAATATACTGTACAAGTGCTTAGACATATACTACTTCATAGTGCTTTATAGTGCTCTCTAAATAGTTTTCAGAACCAGCATATTGTTCCCAACAATCTGGCTCCTCATTTTACAGACATCAGAAGAAATGGAAGGCTGAATTAACCAGGATTGAACTCCTGGTAGTCAGCAGAATTAGTCTGCAATGCTGCATTTTAACTACTACAGCTCTTGAAATCCTTGTATTGAACAAACAATCCAAGTTACAATGTCTTACTTTGCTATGTATCTACGAATGGGACACACATGTACCAATATATCTAGATATGATAGTAAGAAAATAGCTAAAAGCTTATAAACTACACTTATATGGTTTTCAAATTTTGTATTTATCAATATTTATGTCAAACCAGATGGATTGATAGCCTAATATTAACATTATTTAAATGAAAGTCCCATGGTTTAATGGGACTTAATTCCATGCAAATGTTTAAAAGATTGTATCTTTAATCCTAAACGTGTCATTCAACATTTTCTTGCACACATGTGTTGATTAAGCGGCAACTTTTGTAGGACTTTTATTTTTCCTTTTATCTTTTCTCTCCCCCAACTAGAAAAATAGTGGATGGATATTTTGGTGCTTTTTAGTATTTTTTTTATACAGTTTTGTTTACTAGAATGAGACTATAAAAAATACAAACCATCACTAGACAGAAGGCCACAGCAATACAGAAGTCTAGTGATCTGCTTCTATTTGGTTTATACCTGTAATTTAAAGGCCAGATCTAGTAGCCTTACATTTGTTTACTTTTCTTAAAGCCATTTTCTGGGTTTTAAATTGAAAGACAGGCTATTCCAGAACACATAGGTAAAGCACATTATAAACCAAACAGCTTCAATATTGGAGGATAATTTGTGAAACGGTTCATTGTTAATACTGTATGTTCAAATTCCTCATGACTACAATGCTATATCCATATTGTTTTCTTGGCCAAAATATAAATTCTGTCGCCATCCTCCCACCTTCCTAGACCAATTTATAATCTGGGATTCTTAGTTGCCTCATTTTTAAGTTGTAATTGAATTAGATCCTGCTTATCTTTTTCAAGAAAAGCCAAAATTGGTTAGGAGCTGGTATCTACAGTGGCTTAAGTGCTTTCTAAAGATGTCCCTATTTTCCTGTCTGAAATATTGGTGTGTAGATATTACTGCTCTTTGAATTATCACCACTTGGATGGGATGGGAGTCTGAAGGTCTGAATGGAGAGGAAAAATCTCAAGATCAGGCTTACAAGACCAGGCAACTACTTCAAGAGCAGGAACTCTAAATCATTTAGCAGCCATAGGAATGACTTATGAAGTTTATGTTTTTTGCTTCTGCTATTTTTTTTTAACTTGTTGTAGTACAGATCTGAGCATCTGTACTGGTTGAATAAAACTAGTTCAAAGCTGGGAGTTAGCCAGGGGTGGGATTCAAATTTTTTAACAACCGGTTCTGTGGGCGTGGCTTAGTTGGTAGGTGTGGCTTTGTGGTCATGTGACTGGCTGGGCGTGGCCAACTCAACATCACTCACATTGAGGCACACATCTCCTCACCTGGCCTCTCATGACTGTGGGGATGCTGCAACAGTCGTAAGTGTGAAAAATGGTCATAAGTCACTTTTTTCAGTGCCATTGTAACTTTGAATGGTCACTCCACACAAGCAAGGTACCAGCAAAGGAGGGGGGGAAAACTCCAGAGAAGTTCCTGAGACAGGAAGTCTAGTCCTGACAAGAATGTCATAGATCATTCATAAGGGTTAATGGAGAGGCAGTTTCTGTAAGCAACACCAGAATGTTTCCTTCCTGCCTTCCTTACAAGATTAGGCCAGTAATTTCTTCTAACAACCGGTTCTCCAAACTGCTTAGAATGTTAACAACCTGTTCTAGAGAATAGGTGTGAACTGGTAGAATCCCACCCCTGGAGTTAGCGGCTCTATCAGGTGCCAGGAACCAAGGAAATAATCTTGAATCTTGTGAGTTGGATCTTCATCCATCTCACAATTTATGATATTGCCATTTTTTTACAAGATGTTTATGAAATAAGAGCCTGGATTTCATTGCATTTCATCTGAGAATGATGAAATTTCATGTGAATTTACTTGAACTTGTCAAAACATGAATTTCAGTGTTGCATATGAAAGCTCTTGAGCTCTTGTTTGTTTGTTTTTATTTAAAAATGATAATTCCCAGGAAGTGCCACACTGTGTTGGAGAAAATTGCTCTATAGTTACCCAATACAGAAATGGTTATAGTCTTTGGGCAGGATTGGTAGGCCGAAAATTAAATATTATATGGGACCTTGAAAACAAATTACATATTAAGATATCAAAAGATTACAGGATAATTTGTTAGTTTGAATTGATACTTTATAATGTGATCATAGCGTATTTATTTTGAAATGCAAACTCTGAATTGCTGCTTATATGCAACTGAATACAGTCAGTATTGTGTTAGCTTTAGAGGCATTTTATATACAAACCTCTGCCATTACCTCCATTTTTAATTAGTGTTCTGTCTGTGAACAAATCACTATATTTCTGCATTTGGATAATTGAAAACTTTATTATGCCAAATAGGGACGAGCTGGGAGATGAGTCTGATAATTTTTAAATTAAATGTCAAATTGGGTTAGTAATGGGAAAGTGAAGAGATTTCTATAGGGAGCTGCCATTTGGAGCCATTTTAAGCACCTCTCCAGGGACATTCACTAGGTCTTTCAGTCAGATGTGAAAATGGGCCATTTCCATTTCAGCTATTACCTTACTTTTATTAGATAAATGCCTAAGCTTCAGCTGGCCCAGTGGTAAGAAGTTCACACAATGAATGTATTTGTAGCTGGAAATGAATTCTACCACCATCCGGGGAGATGGAAACTAACTGTGACATAGGCCAGACGTTTGGATTTCAGGAATGGAGGAAAAAAATGAATAGGGGGAAGATTCTGAAAGGCAGGTGTTCAGGAGTTTTATTTAAACTGTATGCAATTTCAAGTTTATTTTGAATACATCTCTACAAACCCCACAATTTTACAGGTTTGCACATTTCTGTCTTACTTTGAGCCCCAGGTGCTAATTATAAGTGAATGTTTTTGCAATATAACAAAATACATATTAAAATGCACTACAAGACCCTTGTCAGCAAGTAGTTGCTTTCTGTTTGCTGCTTAGTGAGTTCCTGCATTCAGCTTTAATGTTTTCAGGAATGAAAAGATCTTTCCAAATGTTTCTGCAAAATTCTGAGGCTCAGCTGAAGTGCTTCTTTAGGACACTTATCTGTGCAAACAATTTTTTTTAGTGAAGATAACATTTTTCATTTATTTTGAGTCAAACTCAGGGAAAAAAACAGTCTGTCATTGTGCAAGGAAAAATTACTGCTTATCTGCATTCTCCTATATTTCAGCTTTGTTTTGCATAAAGTAAGATTAGCATTTCCATAACCTCTCATTTGATTGTTTAAGTTATGGTCAGAAACTTATGTTCCTTCTTTTCAAGCATTTGATTCAGAATAAGGATTACCTTAAAGAGCCAAACTGGAAGAGACAATAACTCCAGATCTTCAGATTTCTCTCTGGTTCAGAATAAAATCCAAGGTGAAGCAGAATTTCATTTTTAATTCTTCCCAACTCACAGAAGCCCTGGATCCAAAATGGCAGCTCCCACAAACTGGGAAGTCTCTATTTAGATATTCTCTGGACTCAGGAACAATGGGCAACCAAGGATATCAAAAGCATGAAATCTCTCCAATCCCCACCTGCAAAATTTAATTTGCCCTTGACCTTGTCAGGCTGGAGTTGCCAGGCACATGGCAATTGTGGACTCACCTACAAATGCTGAGCATTTCTCCATCATTGCTTATCCATACATCATGCAAAAGAAATCCCTTTTAAGTTCCCTTTCAGA